TTCAACTAATCTCGGTCTTTAAATACTTCCTTCTGATATGGGTTACAGAGTTTGTCAATGGCTGCGTTCAGCAGAAAAAGTAGTTTTATATAAATTAATCTAAATGTATAAACCAATTATATTAGAGAATCATATAATTATTGTTATTGTACAACATGAATGTATACATTTATGTTGTTAATTGATCAGTACGTTGTTTTTAAACAATTTGATATTTGAATATTTTACAAAGTTATATACAGAATTTATAATTAATCAAGCATATTATAGTTTTGGTATTAAAAAGTAATGTATAAATTATCTTATAAAAGATAATTTTCGCATTTGGCAAAAAGGTGTGTGAGACATTTTTACAAAAAAACCGTGTGAGATCATCGACTAAGAATTGACGAAGTTACCTAATAGGTTCTTGTTTTAATCTACGATTCAAAAATATTTAACTAAAAAACTTAGTTTTTTTTAATGACAACTAATCATTATAATGACGTTCTTCTAATATCATCTGATTCTGTGTTCTACTCAGATACCGTATCTCTGAATATTCTATTTTCTTTGCCGTACAAGAAGTTTACAGTTAAAAGCGTTTTTCCAAGAGTCTTCACGAGATGTGGGTTCTTTGCAAAGCAGTACCGTATTCGTCGTATGGTTACGCGTTCGTGTGACATTACATTGCCTTAACGGCAGCCTTCCGTCTCGCTTCCACGTAAGACGCGTTGGCGCGTCATATGTAACGCCTCCTCAAAAACACGTTAAGTCCGGATCATGCTAAGAAGTTTCACATGAGACGAACATTTATATCCGTATGCGTCTTAAATAGCGCGAGTATCCGTTTGCGAGTAACGGTAGAAAAGAACTCTATATTGTTCATGAACAGTTCTGGTCTTCGTGACCCATATTACTCGAATGAAATACAAAAATGGAAGTAAGTTATCAAAGACAAAATATCAAACTGAAATTCGTGAAATTTTTCAACGCTATTTTATTTTGTTCCATCAGACGGTTTAAGTATTTTTTAGCTTTCTTTTAATATACCAGCTTTTTCATTTTAATTTATTGTTCTATTATATTTTACATATCTAATAATATGTTATGTTTATATAAATAACAATCTTGGCGTCGTAAAAGATTTTGGTGTGCTGTTCAACTCTCGCACATATAAGGTTTACGTGCATTTAGATGGACAGTAATGGTTCATTCATTAAAAACGATGAGTCAACCGTACACATGACGTTGATCCTAATTATCCTGTTAGAACATGCACGTTACGAATAGAACATAGTTGTATGCATTAGCATACAGTATAGACAATCCGCAAAAGTAAAATAGAAGTATGCATAAAAATTTCGAATTTTTTTACTTCTTAAAAATTATGTTTCTCATGTATATAATGAAATTTTATCGAGCAAAAATGAATCTAAGTCCATCTAAAAATAGAACGTTGTAAGTTTGCGAGTCATCGCGTGCTTTTAATGCAGATAGAAACAGGCCATTTGGGAAATAAACCTTCCGCTCTCAGAATGGATAGAACACCTATAAAGCAGCACGATGTAGTGGTTAATTTTAGTATGACCCACTCCACCCTTACCCAGTAGACGCCTTAGACCCACTCCGATTATCCTCCCCTGTCGTAGGAGAAAGTCGATAAGTGACTCACGGGTACACGCCCGCGGCAACCTGACGGATTTAATTAATGAACAAGCAGAGTTATATTCTGTGTATATAACCATTACTGTCTCAAGCTTCCGTTTACGTAACGTAATTAATCCTTTCATCATTCTGCTTGTACAATAGACTCTTGTACATAAACTGACTTTGCACAAACATTTTCCAATGCATACAAATATATTTATAAATATATTTGTATGCATTGTACATATAATACATCATTAGATATATAATTATGACACTTCCACGTATCACACTTGACGTGAGAGACGTCCTAGGAATGTCCTTAGGATGTAGGATGTTCTTTGGACATCTTTAAAACGTTTTAACGTGTTAAACTCACACTGATATCTTTAGAGTGAATAAATGTGATGAGCTGTCTCTTCTATAAATGGTAATCTCTTCTGTACATAATAAGTTATATTTTATCGTTACACATTTATAGACTTTGCAAGTCCATATAACTATAAAATATAACTTCAGCAGAAAGGAAACGTCAATACTACTTTAATTATCTCGTGGACAGTATTCAGTTTAAAAACGACGCCACAGAAATCTGCGGTATCCATTCGCGAAACATCAAATTATGTATGAACTCTGTACAGGTAAAATTAAAGGTCTCGTACATCTCACAACGTCAACAAGTGTTATTGCAACGATAACGCGACAATGTCGTGTAAAAGCATCGAGCTCCTTCGTGATGTCAATCTATTACATCGAGGAATAGGAGTTACATCACGGCCGGGTCAAACGCCCTTATATCCAGCGCGTGACACCGACGTTTCATATTGTCCTCGCGAGCGAGAGCGAGCGAGAGGTGCGATCGGCGATGGCGGCGACGATGACGACGGGGTGTAGCCGGTCCTGCCTTGCTCGTTACCTTGTATGGATCAACCTCGCGCACTATCGTCGTCTCGCAGAGGAAAGAATAAAAAAAATAAAAGGTCGCATACACGCGTGATCGCGCGCTCGGCTCGCACACGCTTATGTGGCGACGTGGTAACGCATGATAACGCGATTTCGCAGGCATCGATCGCGCGACATACCTGATTTTTCTTAAAATTATTATACACTTTAAAAAATGTCGGTGTCGATTTAACACTCCAGTTATGAGATTCTCTAAACGTTTTATCGACAATTAAGTATCACTATCGTTAGCTAGCGACAGCCAGAGAGAAAAGAACATTTTCTTCCAGAATTGTCTTGTTACTGGCTAGTTAACGATAGCGACAATCATTGATAAGATGTTTAGAGAATCCCGTTACTGGTGTGGATTTAACACCCATGCGATGTCTATATAATTCTCGCCATGTTGGTGTTAAATTAACATCAACATGATGTGAATTTAAGACTTCTGGTATTTATATCAACACCGTCATAATATGGATTTAATGAATGTGTAGATTTAAAATCCATGATGTTAAATCCACACTATGTTGTGTTAATTTAACACCAGCAACACGGTAAGAATTATATTGACACCGCTATTTTTTTTACAGTGTATATTTATATACATGTGACGCTATTACATCAAGTCTGTGATTCTATTAAAAAATATGACTTGTATGAGTATATAACTTATCTACTGTTAAATAATGTCAAATTACAAATGCCGATTTAAGCTATTTTTGATTATTTCTACAGGTCGCCACTGCTCTTGCGCTCAACAGAAATCTGTGGTGCTTGTTCGCGCGAAACGTCAAATTACATTGCACGATTCCTAGCCGAAATGCCACCGCGTATCTATCTTCTTCCCGCATAACAGAGCCGCATCCGACATGCACGTGCGTCGATCATCCACGATGCTTCCGCGGAAATGCTTTCAGCACAGTGCGATGCCCTTAATCGATCGTTGATTAACGGTTTCAGAGAACGCGGAGGATGCGGGAACGTTCTCCACAGATATGTGACGAGCAATAACTGGGAAATAGCTAAAAAGTATTCAAGAAACACACCAAGTCAAAAAGAAAGTCAAACTGACATTTTCCGACGTCGTAAAGGTAAAAATAATGATTTTTTTTATTACAAAATTTGACTATTTATTGACGTTAAGAATCAAAATAAAATTATTTTTACTTTTCTATTGATTTTTGTGTGTTCCTTAAGTAGCTGTGCATGTTTAAGAACTGTATACTGCAAATCATAGGACGATCAAGCTGTTAATTTAAATTATTTCTAATGTTTTGAAAACAAAAATCTATCATTCGCAACTTTGTATCGTTTAGGCGAGGCGAAAAAATTGATTGCGATGCGTCAGAGGCTTGACGTAAGTCGAAAAGCCTTTCGTCAATCTTACTGTGAGAGGTTGCATAATATCCGACTGAAGAACAATCCATGTGGATATACGCTCGGCTTAATACCCCATGTCTATTGTCCTTCGTTGGCTTTGCTATTAAACGGCGGGTCCGCGAGCGTAAACGCCGGGTGACATCATGTTCACTTTAAAATCAGATCCGATCACGTTCTCGGGCGTTCAGAGGAAAAAGTAACGCTGGCGTCATTACGTGATTGCGATAATTAGCGATCAATCTGTATCAAGTGAATATTTCATGCCGTTTCAATCGCGGCGTTTAAACGCGCTGGAAACGACGCTCTCTCGCGCTGCTTCGATGAAGAGCATCATTATACAATATATGTCATGGAAAGTATATGACATCATCGCGTGTTTAACGCTAAGCTTCGATTCTTTAATCGAAATTAAAGAAATTATTCTCAAGTTAAAATAAATATAATTGAGCTTTATTTAATCAAAATGTTTATAGCTACCAATAACAACGACATTTTTTAATGTCGTTATTTTTTTTTACGATAAATTAGCTGATAAAAACTCTATGAAATTAAAAAAAAAAGTGTAAAAAAGATAATAAAAGATAATAAAAACATAGAACTTCCATTCGATTTAATCTAGATTTACTGAAGATATTTATTATATAAGATAATTATTTTATCTCGTGCAAAATAGTAATTTGAAGTCGTAGAATACAGGATGACGCTTATTTGCATAAATATATCTTATAATGTCTTTTTTATATCAATTGCGACATCTAGTTTTTCCCACGCATGTAGACAAGACACGTTTAATTTATTTGTGTTTTTATTGTTATATACTGCGTTTATTACAAAGTTAAGCCTATTCTACAATAACCGTAGACATAATTGTAAGCAGTTGTAGTTGTAAGAATTGATCAGTCAGTGCGGAATATGAGGAAAATATTCAGTTATGATTGGTCGATTCTTACAACTACAACTATTTACAACTACGCTTACGGCTGTTACAGGTGGAACAGGTTAATTAATGCAATGAATAATCTGACATGAAATAACGTCACTCTAACAGTTTTTAATGCGTATACAATTAATGCCAGTTTCTATCAATATAGAGTAACTTTAATCTCGGTTCAATTTACTTTTTATCTTTTTTTAAATCTTTAGAATTGTAAAAAGATGAAGAGTTAGTTTTAAATCGGGAATTAAAGCTAATCTACATTGATAGAAACGGACATAAGTCTATTAATCAAGGAGAACCCCTTAGGATCATGTTTATTTAGATAGACATTGTTAAATATGTTATGAAAGACAAGTTCTTAAATTTTAATTAAACTCGATCCAATTATGATTGTGTGGATTTAGGTATTCAAGGCCCAAGTTGTTAACTGCCAAACTCAGTAGATACTCCTACGGCTGACCTTTAGTCTCTAATTTCAGACTTACAATTAGTCGATCGCGTGTTGGTTATATGTATTTGCATATGCCGAATTCGCACCTGGTAACAGACGAATCCGCGACATTCTGTACGCATGTCACAGCTCGAGGGGGCGAACATGAGTCATGGTTATCGACCTTGATGAGGGGTAGATGCGTTTCTACCCCCAATACGGCTCTGCGGAATTTCCGTGAGCAAGGAATCGCGCGCGAAGCGCACCTCACGATGATGCGATTGCGACAAGGGGGTTGTTGCACGAAGCTACCCCCTGAGTCAGAAGCGACGACCGTTGAGTCATCGTCAAAACGATCGATATTGTCTATATATACGAGCACACGCCAGGGCGAGTCGCATGCGGTTTCCATTTCTGCGGACGATACTGAAGCAGATGTAAGTCAGTTTGTGACGATTATTTCTAGAACGATGGTCTTGTGGAAATTTCTCAATTATATATACGTCGAGAATAATAGAAATATCGAGATAAGAATAAATTGTAGAGAAGTGGCGAGGATATTTTTTGGGGGGAAATTTCTATAATTACGATAATTAAAGAGTGTAAGTTAAGGCAACTGAATATTAATTAAATTGTGAAAATTACAGATATGAAATTGACGAATTTGTAGAAAATTATAGAATGAACGTTCATGTTTACGAGTCTCTTTGATGGATTGTTTTAATAGAACTCTATATGTATAGATAAAATTATTGACGATGAATACGATATATGATACGATTGAGAGAAGCCCAAACTTGAACAAGCCAGGCTTTGCCCCGCCTGGTATTTTATTGATCCTAAGAAGGTGAACGACAACCGATACGCCTAAATGCTTTCGCAGGCGTATATCCCTGTCCATTCGTTTCATTATTGACGCAATCAAACAGTCGAGAGTTAAATTAGAAGATACGTCATTATGTGTCAAATATTAGAAAAATATTATTCCAAAAGTTTTTGTTAAATGATTATAATGTTAAATGAATGCACATTCGCGATGTGTCGTAAAGCTAATCATTATAAATAATACTTAGTAATTTTATCACAATAGTTTAATTATAAGCAATGTATTATAATCTCTAATCAATATAAAATATATAGTAGGATATATAATTATTCCGTGTGTATTATAATTTTGGATGTCATGTGTGTGTGTATACACGGAAAGAACGATTTTACTGAAGTGTCTAAAAATTTTACTATAGATACAGATTTGAAAATAATTTTATCGAACTATCAAAATAATTACGTACGACACTCAAGCATGATTAGCAAAAGTTTTGATATTTTAGGCACTAACTCGAGCGTCTGCGTAATTATTTTGATGGTTCAAAAAAATTATTTTCAGACCTGTATCTAGCTAGATTTTTAAATATTTTAATAAAACCGTTCCCTTATATATAAATTCATACGTAAAAGACACTTTCTTCTCTCTCTTCTTTTTCATCCTTAAATGAATATCTGAGTTTAAGGATCACAACAATCTGCCGTTTGTTGGATGTGAAAATTCAGACGCTAGTAGCCTTTTTGGAGATAAGAAGTTGTATTTTTTTTAAATTGATACGTGAATTGGCGTTGACCAAACTTTGTGAAGTTCAGGGATAGCATAGTAAAAGTCGTTTGTATCAGTTCTTTTTGTATATACTATACAACAGGAAGAGTCAAGGTATAACGGAATGTTTTTACCTATCGCTTGTCACAGTCCACGGCGAAATCGCGCGACTCGCCGCTGCTGCGTTTCTGGAGACTCCATCTCGTTTATATTCAGGCCAAGATTTTGACATACAGCTACTTTCTCGTGAGATCGAACGATACTCGGGTTCGAAAACAAACGACAACATCCACGTGGTCGCCGTTAATGGCTTCGTTTTCCATTGCGGAGGTCGCCGACACGTATAATATATATCGTGACGAAGGAGGACGAAGTCAATAAATTGCTCGACATCCGAGATAGGATTACATCTATGATTGCCTTAAGATGAAAGGGAGTGGATTTTTGTTCATCTTGATATTTATTAAAAGAGAAATAGAGAAAGACAGCAAGATGTCACATTTAGGAACTAACTTGTCTCTACAATTAAAGTACAAATTAATTCGTATTTTATACTGTAAATTGAATTATGTGTGATTAACACAAATAACTGACATTATAAATATCTCCAACTTATAACAAAGTCCATTATTTCGTTATAATTTTTTTTATAGGAGTTAAAATTAGATTCTCAATTATTTCCCGCTTTATTTTATTTCTCATTACAATTTATCGGTTGGATAACTTAATGTCGGTAGTAATTATGTATTACGATCGTTATTCGATCGCTATTACATAACGCGTCGCGTCAGTACCATTTTGATGCCATTTAAAGTCAATAAATGTACCCCACTTAATAAAGAAAGGATCGAGAGCCAGGAGTTGCGCTGAGAGCACTCGCTTAAAACGAGATGTGTGGGCCGTACAAGGAGATCTCGTTAGTCGCTTTTCTACACTGCCACGTTGGTAGAATGCATCATGCCGGGGCAATCCAAATTCAGAATTATAGGAGGCTCGTAATTTGTCCTTGATATTGTCGAGAATCCTAATTGTAAGCTAAGAATTAACTTACAATTAGGAGTTAAATTAATAAACTAATTCTAAGCAGGCTTGTAAGGTTCGTAACTTGTTTTCGTAAGACTAATGACAGTTATGTCTGGAATGCTTATAACTTTGCAATATATAAACTTATGCAATATATAATTTTATACAATATTTTTACAGCTTTTTGCTAGCTTTTGCTAGCCGTTAAGATTTACGAGATATTACGAGAAATCGTATAGATATATTTACAAATAATCGTACATCCTACGGTACTCATAAAATTGCAACTTCATCGCAGTCATAAATTCTTACAAATCTTACGAAAACAAATTACGAGCCTTACGATTCTGCTTAGAATTAAGCAGACCCAAGTGAAAAATATAAATACAAATCAGTATACGCACTTCGAAAGTATTTACGATTGTAAATTCCAAAATTATTTTATTATTTATTATTATTATTGAAATTATTGAACCATTATTGCAACGATTTGAATTATTATTGCAAACTATATTAGTCTGCTGATATAAATTATTGGACATTAAAAGATATGTTAAAATTGATATTTGTGACTCAATTGCTTCGCCCACGTGCGAGAGTATCGTAAGATAACCCGAAATCCGCGAGATAAAACCGATTAATTTATCGAAGTACGCCTGAAGCTTAACAACTTTCGTACGGTACTTACGGGAAACGAGACGGGGTTCAGTTTGTTTTATCGTTATGGTTCCTGAGATTAAAGACTGTGCATGAGGTTTTCGTAAGGCGCATCCGCGGATCCCAGTGCTCTTTTGCTCTTCGATTTCATTAAAGAGGAAGGGAGGAAGAAGCGAGGGAATTTGCGAAAGATAAAAAAAAAGGACAGAGGTTTACTTGATCGAAGAGCGAGAAACCACTTGCCCATATTTGGCTACACCCGCATGCAGTTGATATTCCGCGTCTTTTTATTGCTTTCCCTCAATCGCCCGCACCTATATTGCGTCGGCGAGCCTGTCTGCGATTTATATATACTGTCTCTCGTGAATTTTTATCAGGGCGCGATGACATGACCTCGTTGTTTTTCAAGACTGTATAATATGTCGCATAATCCGTGAATGATCTCATAACACAGAGATTGCAATTTGTCAAAAATACAAGCCTGTTTATTGTTTCACCGATCAGATATCAATCTGTGAGAAAAAAAAATGATGAGAGCAGAGGTAGGTCGTTGCTCATTTTCCAAAAAATTCACTGCCAGCGCTGAAAATCTATAATTTTATATATTACGTGTACTATAGATTCCCAGACGCCACCAAAGTCCAAAGTTAGATATTAAAAATTTCAGATCTTATATCTTAAAGTAGCTTTAAAGTTGTAGATTTTTCCTCAATCTGATG